CTTGTGCTATAATTCATCCTTAAAATTTTTTAAAAATTTGACAAAAAAATTGTTGCCTGGATACTTTTGGCAGGTTGATGTATAATACAAGAATTTGAATAAGTTTTCAAATTTACTGTCACCACTTCTTTGTCTCTTGCCAACATTGTCACCAGGTTACAAGAAAATTTATCATTCGCAGTCAGTTCAACATCTTTGTTACTTTCTTTGTCAACAACAAATTTGATACACCCGGCCACATGTGCTTTACTGTACAACTCTTCCTCTTTCATTTCGAATGTTTTGTTGTCCCTCATTTGGTAAGAAGGTTGAGGAGAAGAGGTTGAATTAAGATGTATCTTGCTAAACAACGTTTTTTCTTCCATATTTGTTAATATTTGTTACTGTATTACATACAATCGTGAGAGATAATTACTAATGTAATACGATATCCTATTTTTATTTGGCGTCGATCAGTGAAACGTTTAGTCTACCCCATATAAATTATTTCCAAATCTTGCATGTAATTTTGGGTATGATACATACTAACCACTTCATGTCTGCTTTCAGCAAATACATCTCTAATTTTCCTTTACCCCAACATCATTTTGTACTATCTTTTCTAGCTTCTTTTGGTAGTATTGTTCCATTTTTCAATATTTTCTAGTATGAATATCACAAGTGCCATATTAAAAAGTTAACTTACCACAATCTTTGTAAGGAATGTGCCTAGAAGAATTCCAGTAAACTTGACACCCTTCAAGATGATAGCTACCACTGGTCGAAAATTGATAAAACATATACATATCGAGTACCTGATATGTGTATGTTTTTATTAATTTTCAACTAGTGTACTCCAATTACAAACTTCTCCAATTCTAGGAATATATGGGTAACGATAAAATGTCATATTTAATAATATGTATCGATTTCTATATTTTATAATTAATTTTCATTTTGAATTTTTTTCTTTTAATTAGTATAGCACAAAAATAACATGTCTATTTAAAATTTTCAAGAAATTATCAATCACGTGCCAGCAGAGACAGAAGTACCATTTTCTTGATCAGAAAGTTCAGAAATTGTTAAAAATTTTGAGCTGGTGATGAATGAAGAACTCGATTATAAAGAGATCACTGGGGTCCCAAAACTTTTTCTCAATTACAGATTTTGGAAAGTGAGAAAGAAAATCAGGTATTTTACTACAAAGGAGAAAATTATTTACCAACCAATCTGAGCTACAATATGATAATTACAGAAATTGATGACTATAGATTGACAGCAACTATTAAACAAGTTTTAGTTAAAAGAGAAGATATACTTTTTATACCAATTGACATTGAAGAATATAATAAATATATAAATAATAACCCATATTACATTTTACATATATATGGTTATCTTGTCAATGGTCAAAAAGTTATAGTAATAATTTTCAGTATAAAAGTTTTTTTTGATATTCATATTCCTAATAATAAAAATATTGACATAGTTGAGACTGAAATAAAAAATATTCTTGCCAATGGAAAATATGAAAGAGGGACTATAAATATAACCAATCTCCAGACAGAATATATAAAAGCATTTCCAATTTGTAGATATTATAAAAATAAATAACCTTATATCTACATTATTATAACTGATATCAAGCAAAGAACAATTGTTCTAGCAATTATTTTAAATTACAATTCAAAAATTATAGATGAGAACAAGCTAGAAATAGCATCAGACAATACAAGTACATATTATTGAAAAGTTACTTGAAAATATAGAATACTACTCTCTGAATAAGCTTTATTAACTAATTATAAATATAACAATGGTAGGATGCCTTATAGTGCTCATTCTTTACTTTGTGAATATGCTTTTTATACATCTATTAATAATTTTCGCTACATAGAAGATCCCATAATATTAAATAAAACTTATCCTTCTCAACTTATTACTTATGACTGAGCATTAGTTCTTGCTTGGGATATCAAAACATATTTAACACTTGGGTTAGATCATTTCCCTATTACCAGATATAAAGAAAATAATATATTTATGATTTGTATAACCATTCACTAAAAAGATGATCCCACCCCATTAAAACAAATTTACCTTGTTAACGTAGAAATGGTGCCAGATTCAAATTGGATTACAATCATTTGTGAAAATAAAAGAAATCTGTTAAAGGCATTTGCTTTATGTTAGCAGGCTCTAACCCCTGATATCAAATTGACTTTTAATGATTCCAAGTATGATTGACTATTTGTGATAGAAAAGATCACCCAGCTCAAAATTTTAGATTAGATGGTATCAAAAATATTAGTAAATTCATGTAAAAAGACTATAATTGATTTTATACTTTGCTGAAATTACTATGAAAGAGTAGATGAACTTTTCTATAAAGATTTTTTTCATAAAGAGCAAATCGTGAGGATCTTCCAAAAAAGAAAACAAAGATAATAAAAAAATAAAGAATTGGAAAGGAGTTGAAATTAAGATTACTTCAGAGGAAAATTTCAAATCTACTTTTCTCAAAGTTCCTGGTTATGTCCTAATTGATGTAGTAGTATATTGTAAAAAACTTTATTCAAAATTTGAGAAAAAATCACTTAACTATTTCTTAGAAATGTATTGTCTTGATATTAAAATAAATTTACCAATAAAAAATATGAGGAATTTTTATACACAAAGCAAAGAGAATAACATATCTGAGTCCATTGAAGTTGTCAAGAGCTTATAGTTAAGTGAAATGTAATAAATGATTACAGAGAGGTAGTCTCAATTGCATATGTTTCTTTATTTGATTCACACTACTATACTGTAAATATAAAAGTTATATATGCCACCCAAATTCAAATTCAAAAACCCAAATCCCAAAATATATTTTGACTGTTCAAATTCCAAATCCAAAATATTTTTGGCAGCCCAAATTATTTTTGGCAACCCAAATTATTTTTGGCAACCCAAATTATTTTTGGCAGCCCAAATTATTTTTGACAATTCAAATTATTTTTAGTAGCCCAAATTATTTTTGGCAGCCCAAAATATTTTTAGCAGTCTAAAATATTTTTGACAGTTCAAATTATTTTTGGTAGCTCAAATTATTTTTGGCAGTTCAAAATATTTTTGGCAGTTCAAATTATTTTTGACAAACTAAATTATTTTTGATAACTCAAATTATTTTTGACAATTCAAATTATTTTTGACAATCTAAATTATTTAAGACTATCCAAATTTTTGACAGTTCAAATTATTTTGTCAACCCAAATTATTTTAACAATTCAAATTATTTTTGGTAGTTCAAATTATTGTATTTCAAAATACTTTTAATAATTTAAATAATATGAAAAATT